CAACCACGTGTTCCTGGCTACGAGATTTTCCAGTGAGCTGCTCGTAAACGCGGAAACTCGTAAATGCCCGGCCACGAAGAGTCCCTGGGAAAGACGGAGGAAATCCAGGCGATCTGCATTTGCATGCTCGGTATTCGCATAGCTGAGACAGGAAGCGAGGACGTGGACCCGCATTCAATCCTGTGGATCCTGCTATTTTATACTGATTCTCTCATTTTTACACGTGGAACACGTATTTGACTGGCAAACTTACTCTCGTATTATGCATTATGTAGTATTTTATTAAGTTCATACATGGTGACGCGGCGATATATCGGATGGTGATATGATGCATGGTAAAGTGACGGCGCATGGTAAATCGATGCCTGGTAAATCCACGCGTGGTAAATCAACGCTTGGTGATCTCACTCGTCGAAATTCTACGTATGGTAAATCCACGCTTGCTAAATCCACGCGTGGTAAATCAACGCTTGGTAATTTCATTCGTCGAAATTCTACGCGTGGTAAATCTACGCTTGCTAAATCCACGCGTGGTAAATCAACGCTTGGTAATCTCACTCGTCGAAATTCTACGCGTGGTAAATCCACGCTTGCTACATCCACGCGTGGTAAATCTACGCTTGCTACATCCACGCGTGGTAAATCAACGCTTGGTAATTTCATTCGTTGAAATTTTACGCGTGGTAAATCCACGCGTGGCAAATTAACGCTTGGTAATCTCACTCGTCCAAATTCAACGCGTGGTAAATCTACGCTTGTTAAATCCACGCGTGGTAAATCAGCGCGTAGTGAATCGACACGTGGTACTCTAACGCGTGATAATTCAACGCATATTAATCTTTCATCTTGTTGGAAGTTGAACGTGTGATAATCTGACGTGTAGTAACCTAGCACGTAGTTAACTAACGCGTGGTATTCTATAGGATAGTACTCTAATGCGTACTATTCTAATGCGTAGTAATCTAACGTGTAACAATTTAACTTGCAGTAATCTAACGTTCAACAATCTACCATCCACTAATCCAGCATGCACCAATGCAACATATCTCAACATAACGTTATCTAACACATCATAATCTATCATACAACGATACACCTCGAAACAAAAATATTCACCATTCACCAAGATGCATAGAAATGCAAAGCGATTCGAAAGCGTGCGAAATAGATGACGCGAGAGCGGGATCAATCGAAAATGCAATGTCCTGGGAAGCCAATAGAAGGTAAACTCAATTTCGCGGTACACGTATCATTACCGGGAGACGCGACTTATATGCACCTAGAGAGAAATATCGAAAGAAAAGATGTAACCCCTGTGGAAAATATCGTTGCTCGACGATCGTGACGCGTGCGTCCATTTCGACGCTCAGGATTTGCCGACTTTTCTTTTGCTCTCACATTTTCTACAAGCATCTTGTGTGTTCATCGGTCTTGTTCCTTGTATATGAACATCGATGCATGGTGCTACAAGAATGTTAAAGAATGTTGTGACGTTAGAGGTGAGCAAATTGTCGGTTCACGTGTAGCGATGTTTCATGATGCTTGGTGTAAAAGTTTAAAATAGTTTGATGCGAATTTAGAAATTGGGAATTTGAGAAATTTGGAAATTGGGAAATTTGGGAATTTGGAGATTTGAGAAGGTAAGAGTGGAGGAAGTTAGGAGTTATTTAAGAGATTGGGGAATTAGGAAGTTGGAGATTAAGGAAGTTAAGGATTTAAGAAGTCGGGGACTTAGGAAATTAGGGATTTAAGAGGTATGGAAATTAGGAAGTTAGGGACTTAAGAGGTTGGGGATTTAGAGAGTTAAGGACTTAAAAGGTTGGGGAATTAGGAAATTGGGAATTAAGGAAGTTAGGGATTTAAGAAGTTGGGGATTTAGGAAATTAGGAGTTTTGGAAGTTGGGAATTTAGGAAGCTGGAAGTTTTGAAAGTTGGGAATTTAAGAAGTTAGGGATTTAAAAAGTTGGGGATTTATGAAGCTGGGGATTCATAAAGTCAGGGATTTAAGAAGTCGGAAATTAAGAAATGTAATGAATTACAAATATGAAAATTTTTAAGCCTAGAAACTTGAACATTTTTAAAAACATAAATTATAAAATTTAGAAAATTGACAAACTCAAAAAATTAAAAAATATAAAAAGTGGAAATTAACAAGACAGTCCAATCCCCCAAAATCTCCCGCCACTTCCAAACGAAAAGCAGAATCATAGAATGCTTTTATTAGGTAGTTATCGATTCGACTGATAAGAACGAAATATCGAATTCGCTGCAACGAAATGAAAAGCAAACAATGTTCGCATCGCGTACGACGCTTTAACGGAGCCATCTTGATATTATGTTTTCATAGTCGGTCAATTATGTTAGAAAAATCGGGGAGCACACATGTTGTCGCGTCCACTTTTTCCCCGTCGGAGTGTCGAAACATCCCCGCTGACGCATATCATTTTTCCGCGAAAAGGAACGTGCCACTGCACGTGTAATGTTTTGTCCATCCAGGGAAAAACCTCCATAATACAATTACTGTTCTTTCACCAGTCATATTTAACGATCGCGAACGACGCATTAGAAAAAGAGAACATCGTATTTGCGAGCATGAATATTTAAAAGTTGAACATACGCTTTTTTCCCTTTTCAGGAGATACTCTGAAAGTGTGGGAAGTCTGAAGCTGATTGTGCAGTATTGTACAATTTTTTTACGTAGTATGCAATTTTAGGATTTTGTGATTTTAGGGGGAATGTTATGCAATTTTGTGATTTTGTGATTTTTGGGTGTAATGTTATGCAATTTTAGGATCTTGCAATTTTAGGGGGAATGTTATGCAATTTTAGGATTTAGTAATTTTTGGGTGCAATGTTATGCAATTTTAGTGTTTAAGATTTTGAAAATTTTGGGTGTAATGTTATGCAATTTTGATGCATAGGATTTCGCAATTTTTGTGTGGAATATTATGCAATTTTAGTGCATAGAATTTTGCAATTTTTGTATGTAATATTATGCAATTTTGGTGCATAGGATTTCGCAATTTTTGTGTGGAATATTATGCAATTTTAGTGCATAGGATCTCGCAATTTTTGTATGTAATATTATGCAATTTTGGTGCATAGGATTTCGCAATTTTTGTATGTAATATTATGCAATTTTGGTGCATAGGATTTCGCAATTTTTGTGTGGAATATTATGCAATTTTAGTGCATAGGGTTTTGCAATTTTTGTGTGGAATGTTATACAATTTTAATGCATAGGATCTCGTAATTTTTGTATGGAATATTATGCAATTTTAGTGCATAACATTCCACAATTCTTATATGGAATATTATGCAATTTTAGTGCATAGGATTTTGCAATTTTCGTATCGAATATTATGCAAGTTTAGTGCATAGGATCTCGCAATTTTCGTATGGAATATTATGCAACTTTAGTGCATAATATTCCACAATTCTTGTATGGGATATTATGTAATTTTAGTGTATAATATTCTACAATTTTTGTATGTAATATTATGCAATTTTACTGCATGATATTCCACAATATTTGTATATAATATTATGCATTTTTAGTGCATAACGTTCCACAACTTTTGTATATAATACTATGCAATTTTGGTACATAAAATTCAACAATTTTTGTACATAATACTATGCAATTTTAGTGCATAATATTCCACAATTTTTGTACATAATACTATGCAATTTTAGTGCATAATATTCCACAACTTTTGTATATAATACTATACAATTTTGGTACATAAAATTCAACAATTTTTGTACATAATACTATGCAATTTTAGTGCATAATATTCCACAACTTTTGTATATAATACTATACAATTTTGGTACATAAAATTCAACAATTTTTGTACATAATACTATGCAATTTTAGTGCATAATATTCCACAACTTTTGTATATAATACTATACAATTTTGGTACATAAAATTCAACAATTTTTGTACATAATACTATGCAATTTTAGTGCATAATATTCCACAACTTTTGTATATAATACTATACAATTTTGGTACATAAAATTCAACAATTTTTGTACATAATACTATGCAATTTTAGTGCATAATATTCCACAACTTTTGTATATAATACTATACAATTTTGGTACATAAAATTCAACAATTTTTGTACATAATACTATGCAATTTTAGTGCATAATATTCCACAATTTTTGTACATAATACTATGCAATTTTAGTGCATAATATTCCACAATTTTTGTATATAATATTATGCAATTTCAGTGCACAGAATTGTGCACCTTTTGTACATATAATTTTTAAAAGGGTGGTAAAGGGGGATGTAAATGATAGTAATGTGATTAGCTTCCCCCCTGATCCAACAAGCTTTTTCCCTGATTTCATGGCTTTCGAAGAAAATCATCCCTCGTAGGCATTGACCCCTCGTTTCACTGGTGCTCTAAACACGAGAGTCAATTTGTAGGAACCGTTCGCTTTTACAGCGATCAAATTTTCACCTATAAAACCACTCTCCTCTAGATGTGCTTGTTGAAACGTACCTTAAGCGCAGAACACACTATTTCCATCATTGAAAAATTAAACAATTTTCTCAGACCAAAAAATATTACAATTCAGCATATACGAACTGATAAAAATAGTCGTTTAAAGTAACTTTAACGGTGAATACACAACACTATTTTCTACGTCCACCATACAACCCATCCCTCTATGTCCACAATCCATCTCTTACAACCAAGGTGCTTACATAAAAAAGCGATACACTTCATCCTCTCCCGACCAGAAAATACACAATTTCAGACATTAAACAGAGAGCATTGTACAAGAGTATTTTTTGTGCTGGCCGTGCAACGAAAGAGAATTGAATGCCGTTGCGTTGCGTATGCGCGAAAGGGAGTGCGACTTCGGTGAAGAGAGACGGCGATAAACCGAGGGTGGTAGACGGGGGTGGCGATCGTGGAAGAACAGAGGAAGACAGAGGGTGCGAACGGCGCAGAGATAGTCGGCCGACACGCGCGTCTGGCAACACACGTATAAAGGGTGGCGTCCCGATGCCTCGATCGTCATATCCCGCGTAGACGTCGAACTTCGCGACGCCCGGCGTCCACAGTCAAGCCTCGAACTCCTTCGGCTACGTGTCGGGTGAAAACGGAAAGGGAGAAGTACTGGACGGTTAATCGACTCCCGCAGGAGCCACTTTACTCTTCCGACGCTTTTCCAGCAACAGGTGAGCTGCATCTCTTTCTCGATAATCGCGATTTTCACGCTCGATCGCTTGGATGTGCAGCGAAATTTTAACGATATTATTTGACGGACGGAGAATTTTATTTCGGTGGGTATTGGGATTTTTTGAGGTGGATTGGTGAAGGACGAATTCTCTTTGCTTATAGGGTTTGTAGGGTTTCTAGGGTTTTTAGGATTTTTAGAACTTTTAGAAATTGTAGAATTTTCAGAGTTTTTAAGGTTTATAGAGTTTATAGGGTTTATAAGGTTTTTAGAATTTTTAGAATTTTTAGAGTTCTTAGGGTTTATAGAGTTTATTATAGGGTTTTTAGAGTTTTTAGGGTTTCTAGTGTTTATAGGGTTTATAGGGTTTTTAGGGTTTTTTAGAGTTTTTAGGATTATAGGGTCCATAGTGTTTATAGGGTTTTTAGGGTTTTTAGGATTTTTAAGGTTTTTAGGGTTATAGGGTGATTATAGAATTTTTTGTGATTTTTGATTATAGGGATTTTGCAGGGTAGAATAAGAGGAATTCTATGTTAAATCATAGATTAGATATTTTGGAGAATAGGGATTTTTATTTTGGGCAATAGTAATTTACTACTTCAGAATAATAGGAATTTTGAAAAATAATTTCTTTGTTGAATAGTAGAAATTTTTGATTGAGTAATAGGAACTTTTAGTGTGGAAAATTTTTGTACAACAATGTGAATTTTCTTTGTTAAATACTAGGGATTTTATTAGTGGAATAGGGATTTTTATTTTGGAAAATAGTAAGTGTATTTTTTATAAAATACTAGTGACATTTACAGTGAAACCCTAGGGATATTTATAATGAAACCTTAGAGATATTTATCATGAAACCCTAGGGATATTTACAATAAAATCCCAGCGATATTTACAATAAAATCCTAGAGATATTTTGCATAAAGTACCAGTAATGTTCCTCATGAAATACTAATAATGAAATTCTAGAAAAATTCCCTATAAAATACTAGAAATTACAAAAAGTCCACCAAAGATCTTCAACTTTTGAAATTTTTTTGCACTGAAAAAATTTGTTAAATAAAATTAATTATATAATATTCTATCAATAATATAAAGATTACTCCACTGAAATTTTGAGCTTGAACATATTAATAGCCAATAGCAAGTTATATAGAACCACTTTCTGTTTAACCATATCACAGTGCCCAGTGAAATTGAAAATGGCCGCCAATTTACTTAGCAAACTACCGAAATATTTGCAGATCAATGCAAGTTTAAAATGAATACTGTTTGATATCAATTAACCATTAACAAGAAAAGTAAAATTTAATAACATTCCTCTTTAGAGATTAATTTAGTTATTCTGTGTGCTTCATTCAGACGCATTTAAACAATCACGAAACTTCCCCGACATCATCCCACGAATTCACGAGGAATACGTCGGCTCGCATAACAACGGGAACATGAAACATTATGCTCCTTCATTTCTGGCTCTCCCATCCACTCACGTTTCCCTTTATAAAGTACACGGACTACCGTCGGAAAAGCGTTCAAAGAGCGGAATAATGAGAACGAAGCCAATGAATCGTCAGAATGCAACAAATGTCATTTATTACGATCGTTTACGAACATACGAAAGGTTAAGTAAAATGCCATTTCGAATCCTTATCTTCTTTCGTAGGCGGCAGGCTTTCAAATTTAAACGGTTGGATAGAGAAGTCAGAAAAAAACGAATGAATCGAGTTATTTTATGATCAAATAAAATGGAATATCTTTGCAAACTATTTTGTAAAATTGTTTTTTTAATCAAACTCGATTAAATTTGACGCGAGGGGAAATTTCATTTTTGCAATTTTGTTGTGTTATCAAAAATATGAGTTTTTATATTGGGAAGAATTTAATTGAATATCGTAAATTGCGAATGGTTTGATTCTCTGTTAAAATTTGGTAAATTTCAGTGTTTGCAAAGGGAGTTTTTGTCGAGGAATTTTGTTAAACTTATTTTTTAGAGATAGGGAATTTTTTGTAATTTGATCATTTTTAATAAATCAGTCATTTTTTTGTAATTTTATTATTCTCAATAAATCAGGCATTTTTTATAATCGAGATTTGGCAATAAATCAATCATTTTTGATAATCGATAATTGTCAATAAATCAGTCAATAAATAATACAAATTTTTGATGATCGATCATTCTCAATAAATCAGTCATTTTTGATAATCGATCAGTCTCAATAAATTAGTAATTTTTTATAATCAATAATTGTCAGTAAATCAGCAATTTTTAATAATTGTCAAATATCAATGAATCAGTAATTTTTAATAATTGTCAAATATCAATGAATCAGTAATTTTTAATAATTGTCAAATATCAATAAATTAGTAATGTTTAATAATTATCAAATACCAATAAATAAGTAATTTTTAATAATTATCAAATATCAATAAATCAGTAATATTTAATAATTGTCAACTATCAATAAATCAATAATTTCTAATTATCAATAATCATCAATAAATCACTAACATTTTACATTTCCAAATATTCCCACAATTTCACTAACAATTCTCCACAACGCATAAATTCAGACAAAATTTCGCTGCAGAAAAAAAAAGGAAATAACCAGAAAGATTCTATATAAAAAAACTCATGAATATTACATTTCAAAAATTTTGTAATCAGTATGTAATCTAACACCCTACGCCGAAAGTTCATTTGTTCAAAAATTGTATTATTCGTGAATGCCGCTGGTGCAATTACTTCCGCCATGTGTCACAGAGATCGCGCTTTTATTCAGGAAAATTTAATCAAAAGTGCAAACAATCAAATTACAATTAAACGACTGTAAACAGAATTTATCTTCACAACAATTTTCGCTGTCAAAAATACAAAATTGCGCGACGAGTTTTTAGAATCGTATCGACTGAACCTTCATTGTTTGTCAAAATGGCTGACGCTTTCGATCATCTAAATAATTCCAGCGTAACTGACGTTCGGAGAATTTATCGATTTCTATTTTTTTGTGGCGTAATTCGTATTGATTGGTGGTTTGGTGTAATAATAAAGGAAATTATTCCCTTTGTTGTCGGGAGATATCATCGTTAAATAACTCGAAATTTACCGTGATATGTTTGTGCATCGCTTTACGAGTAAAATTTAATGGAATCATTTATAGAATTATTTATTTATTTAAAATTAAATCAAAACATTCATGCACTGTTTTAAAATTGAATGATAATTTAAACATTTAAACATACAATTCTCTACTAGGTTAGGTTTTAGGTGTAATTCTAGGTTAGAATTTGTTCAAATGTTGTAGGTTAGTTTATACCCATCACTACATTCTCTCTACGATTACGTAAAAACTTGATTGCTATAATTTTGTAAAATTATTGGACAATTTTGGAGAAGTTAACAAATTCTGGATGACCAGAAATTAAAAATAATTTGAAACATATAAAACATACAAACATATGAAGCTTCAATGAACTTTCAGACAATATTAAACATTATTGGCGACAATTTCTCATGTTCATGGCTAAATTTTAATTTCAATACTATTCTTAAAAATTCCCCATATATAATAATAAATTTCCTCTTCCTTGCACAACAAGTTAATTAAAGAAAATTTTTGCAATATGCAAACTACATGTTTTACGATAATAAAAAATAAAAAATGTCTCAATTTAATTATGTACAAAAGTCCAATACATGATTGATTCTTTCACTACACTCTAATATGTAATTCTTATAAAATATTATAAAGTACCGTCACAATATTTTGTTCATTGCACCAAAGTCATTATTTTATTCAAATAATTTTTGCAACCCGAGAAGCAGAATTTAATAGCGATATTGAGTTGAACAGAAAAAGATTTTTAATTATCCGAAGTCAGTGAAAGTTTCGACTTTTCCTAAGTAATTTCTACGCGAGATCCAACGTCATATTTACGGGCGTTGTCGCGAGAGAATTGATATCAGAACTTCCGTTTCATCGAAGTTCCCAAGCGTACAAGTCGTCAGCTGCGATCCCCATCCTTGCCAGTCGTTTCTACGAAAAGCTTCTTCGCGAACCACAGACAAGCAGCCAAGTAATTGAAAGCTCTAGTAGGTAGAAGTTTGTCGATTGATATTTTCGTTTATTTATTCATTTATCTTCATTGAATGCTATTTTAAGCATAGGATGTCTTAAGTACAGGGTGTTGCTGATGACTGTGGTCACATTTCACGTGCAGTATTTGGGAATCTTGGGAAATTCTTTTTTATAATAGCAAATTTTAGGATATTGGTCTTTAGGTTTAGGAGATATTGTCATTTTTGAGCATTTTCAAATTTTAGAATTTTTTAATTATTATCAAGTCTTTGGTTTTTGTAAATTGCAAATTTTTGAATTGATAGACTTCCAAAGTTCTAAATTTCCAAATCCCCAAATTCCCTAAATTTCACAAATTTCTCAAATTCCTTAAATTTCTCAAATTCCTCAAATTCCCCAAATTCCCCAAATTCCCCAAATTCCCCAAATTCTCCTAATTCTCCAAATTCCCCAAATTTCCTAAATTCCCCAAATTTCCTAAATTTCTCAAATTTCTCAAATTTCTCAAATTCCTTAAATTCCTCGAATTCCTCAAATTCCCCAAATTCCACAAATTCCACAAATTTCCCAAGTTTCCTAAATTTTCCAAATTCCCTAAATATCACAAATTTCTCAAATTCCTTAAATTCCTCAAATTCTCTAAATTCTCCAAATTCCCCAAATTCCCCAAATTTCTCAAGTTCTCCGAATCCTCCAAATCTCCCAAATTTCCTAAATTCCCCAAATTTCATAAATTCCACAAATTCTCTAAATTCTCCAAAATCCCCAAAATCCCCAAATTCACTAAATTTCACAAATTCTCCAAATTCTCCAAATTCTCCAAATTCTCCAAATTCTCCAAATTCTCCAAATTCTCCAAATTCTCCAAATTCTCCAAATTCTCCAAATTCTCCAAATTCTCCAAATTCTCCAAATTCTCCAAATT